CTGTACCAATAGCATCGATGGAGCTGACTTCTGATGATCGATGGCATCCAAAACGAAATCGTCGTGGGAAATAAATCCATGTAAATAAGGGAGAATGTGCACATGAGTGTGGCATGCTACCTTACACACAAATCACATCTATACCATTATCTAAATAAATTGCTAGCAATCATTCCCCATAAAAATTACATGGCATGATGAATCCCTGAATAAATATGTTTTTCTTTTTATTTGTGCATACTGATTACTTTTCATAGAATAAATTCAAGTATCATTTTTTTTCCTTATCATAAGGGTATGTTTGATTATTCGATTGAGTTTTATTCTATATCAGGTCTCTATTTTTCATATTTGAAAATCAGGATGTAGGTGTGAGATAGAGTCCGGTGGTTCAACAAAATCTGCAACCGAAAACTGAACCAGAACGACCTTTAGTGCTTATGATAATTAGTGCCATACAAGTGAAGACGGCTGTGGCGAAAAAAATTATGTGACCTAAAACGATGATGCTGTAGTTATTGATGACGATCATAAAGACTTTAATAATAAATTGAACAGCCAAAATTTAGCTGTGTTTTGAGATGTAATATTGTAAATGTTACTGCTGTTTTACTTTCTCTTGTACGTTTTTAAATCAATGGGATCGGCAAAACCATTCATTATTTCTAATGTCAAGAATCAAGCGATACGAATTTCCAAAAAAAGATTCACTAATTAGGTAATAATTGAAGATTTCTGGTTTCATGTTTCATGTTCCCCCGTTGTATTTTTGGAACCAAACTGGAACTCTTTTTTTTTTCAAAACTCGAACGACCGAACTCTAATATGAGGATCATGAAGATCAGCACTCACATCCTTCTTTCATATCCAGCTACAAATCCTTAGCTGTTTCTTCTTCAAATCAATCACTCGAAATAAGAAGAATTCAGAAATGGTGTGGGTCGATGCGGATATCAGAACAACAGACACAACAGGCGCATGTGCAACCTCGGCGAGGGGATGCAAGTATTTGTATTTTTTCCACAAAGGAGTGGGTGTGGGTGTGAGTGAGTGGGGATAGATGTGAGTGGGTGTGGGTTTAGTTCTTCTCTTCAACTGCACCCACACCCTATCAGCTCAACAGATATGTGATAAATAAAATGAATACCTGATTTTTTTTCGATCATGTTTTGGTTCACAATAGTAGTAAGAGAGTCAGGAACTGTTTACAATTGACTGAAATCTGAAATTATCAACAAACAAATTAGCGAGAATTTAATGGTAGCTCAGAATATTAAGCCAGTTGTATGTACTGTTTGGAAACTTCAAGTAGGACTGCCTAATAGTGATAGAAAATAGATGCTCATCTCCAAGGTTTATGCTGTTTCGAGTTTATTAAGTAGTATACTATTTTAAGTGTTTAAAATTATGTTTTTGTCTCTGACCATCCTATAGAATAAGAACAAAATGTTATTGGTTAGCAAAAATATAAAACGAATCAGTTAGTTTGTTGATTGCGAATATTTTAAATCAGGGATAGATGGAGAGCATACAATGATAATAGCGTAGCAGTCAATTCAGAATACACTGGCTGGAGAAGAGAATGATAAAATCGTTGTTTTGATTCAGTTTAATACAGATTTCCCCATTTATCTGATTAAGCAGTGCTCACGATCAAATGATAAATATTTTTGTTTTATCGTGATACAATTCTATAGCCATCAAGACTAGGTGGCATTTCTTTTATTATTTTTGAAATTGAGTTCGAGTTATAGTTTATAAGAAAAACATGCTGTTTTCTTTTTTATGAACAGTAATTTTATTCTCTCATATTTCCGATCTTATTTTATGTTAGAAAGGCATTAAAAAATGCATTAATCGAAACAGTCTATCAAGCTGCATTTATTGGCTTCTTTTGAACTGAAATACAAAAATTTCAAAATATCCATAACAACCGAAAGCTGAATTTCGAAAATGAGGGTGAAGATGAGGGTAGGTGAGGTTGAGAGCGGGTGAGAGTGGATGAAGCGAAGATCCTTACCCTCACCCACCACCCTCAAGAACATATAATGATCATCCTGCGAAGAAAAAAAGAATTATCATTGTTAGTTGTTCTGATAATATCTGTCATGAAACTTTGATATTGACTTAAAGGTGAACGGCAAGCAGACATTATCTTCTCTCGACACCCAATGTGACATTATAGCTCAAGTACATACCTGGCCTAAGAATAACTCGACAGAATACTCTAGAAAATTTAAAAACTTTACCAAAACTTGAACCAATATCAACAAGAAAAATGTTCTATATTAATTAAGTATGTGCTGAACACGGTAACAGACCAGAAATCCTCGGTTCGGTTATACTCGAGTTTGGCTATATTCAGTACCGGAAATCCTACATTCAGTCATTCACTTAATTGCAACAATAGTAATCAATAATATAAAGTAGTTCGTCATCGAATAGCGGAAAATTTGTGTGCTTGAATTTTTCATCAGAGAAATCGAACAGACGTTATTCAAGCCTCGACATCACACTTTGAATTCAATAGTTGACTTGCTTGATTTATCCAATTTGTTTTTTTCTATACATTGTTTATAAAAGCTAGTTACCTTTCAATTTTAAGAGCAGTGAGCATGAAGAAAATATGTGACAATTTCAAATATGGAAACGAAACATATAGGGAAATAAATGTCTTGAAGTTCACTATTTCTATTTGGATAGGACAAAGAAAAATAAATTTAAAAAAAGACAAAAAAAGAAGATAACGATCATTACATTTTCAATGTTATATTGTTGATCTTCTATGTGCTTTTCTTAATTGTGAGAATTTAATAGCAGTGAATGGTGCATTATTGACTTCTATATGATACTCAGGGATATAACGATATAAATTTAATGTAATCATATGTTGATCTTTTTTGACCAGTGGCAATTAAATGGCAAATTAACAGACTTATTCAAAGATAATAAAAACTCCTCCGATCACAAATAATAATCTTATATTACAGCATTATAAAGTGTTTCGCTTTACTCGCTTTCTTTTGATACAATCATGAGATGCACACCTATACATTCAGACTAGAATAAACTAAAGATGAAATTGATTTTTTTTTCCATTGGCGATGCTTTTATGAATTCATATAAACACTATTGCGAACGATAAAACAATTTCATATGACGCATTTCATCATAATAAGTGTATTTTAATAGAATGTTCTTCCCGTGTATGTTGTGACTTCTAACGCTAGAAGAATCATTTATATAGTTTCTTTTGGTTGAAAAAGTAAATAAAAGCATTGTTCTATCGCATTTGCAAAGGTACTTAGAAGAATAACCGATCGAATGTCATTTCACACAGGTAATGATAATGAAATATTTTGTTTGATTGTTTCAAATGTGAATTATCTTTTTTAGGATATGAAATCTTCAATTATTCACATCTGAACAATTCTTCTATTGATCATCATCTTGAAATGCTCTCAAATAATGTCAGTTTCATTAAATCTTTGTTTTCTTCATAGTGCAGTAAATTGTTTGATTTAGCAGCATCATTCATCAATAAGGAGAACAAGATCTAAAAGCATCATTCATGCAACTATTCGACCATTACGAACCACTGAATCTATGAAGAGTAACTCTATTCAAAGGAATGATAACTTATGTTCAGTTAGATTTTCTCAATTTTTGATTATTTTATATATCTTTCTTATCGAAATAGATTTCAAATATTCTCAATGTTGATGATGATCAAGATCAATCAAAAAATTCTTTCATCACTGAGAAACCATCGAAATTTCAAAATAATTCAATAAATTCTGTCATTGTTACTAAAATTCATCGTCATTTTCATCCTCAAACACAAGTAAGTTTAGTTTGATATTCCGAATACTAAATATCTTTCTTACAATTGTAAATCGACAATATTTGCGTTTATTTTACTGGAATATTTCATGTATTCAAAATCTAATTTAATAGTATGTTTCTTATTATAGGCAACTAAAACAATATGGACAAGCAACAATTTCAATGGACCTTTGCGATACAAAATGAATGATCTTTCTGGAACAATCTCGAAAATTAGAAAATATCGATCAAAGTCATCTAAAGTGGCTCATTGAGCAGTAATTTCATTTTTTAAAATTATGTATTGATTTTGTCAAAAATACACTAGAGAAAAGATGCATGGTCGGAGAATTTCAATGACACGAATGATCATCATCAGGATCCGAAGAAGAATCAAAAGAAAATGCAAGTTTTCTCTTATTACTTATCTCATATTTCGTTTATCTGACCGTTTAACATTCTTCGTATTATAATATAGGTGTTCGAAACAATGTGTAGCAGCCTTATTTATCAGTATTCTTCGTGTTATTGCGCTTATCATCACAATACTTCTCATTTTTTTGGTCAAACCACAAACAACAAATAGAAACGCTAGTAGTAAGATAATAATATTCGAATCAATACATAACAAATTTCAGCTGAAACATCTGGATTGTTTTTCATCTTAACCTCCAAACACTTTCTGTTTATGTGAAACTATTTTAATGAAATTCTTCATAAATTAGCAAAAAACTGTATCGTTTTTTTCTTCAAATAGCTAATATGAAAGTACTATTGCCAATAGACCATATGCATATGATAGAAGAGGAACTACCAGAACCATTTTTCGAACAAATATATCAAAGAATTATTTCAACAAATAGGATTAAAAGACAGTTTTAATATATCCTTGGTTCTAAAATAGTCACCTTTCCTGAGAAACATGATTCGACATTAGTTCACTGAAGACTTTTTAGAAATGCTACTAAAAACTAGCTTACATATATTGCTGATTTTCTTTTACAGCTAAAGTAGCATTGCTTCGATGGAATACATCTGGAATTACTATAGCTGGTGTAACAAATATGCCTGGAAATACTTCTAATCAGTTGAACGAGCCATGGGATCTGGTATTAGATTGGTCAAATGCATTATATGTTACTGATCAGAAAAACAATCGAGTTCAGAAATTTTTGATGGGCATGTCGACAGGTACAACTGTTGCTGGTCAAGCCAATGCAACTGGAGGGTTAACATTGAATTATCTGCGTGGACCGTTGGGTATTGTTGTCGATGAGTACAGTAATATCTATGTAGCAGATAGGAATAATGATCGAGTTGTTGTTTGGTCCGATGGCGCATTATCTGGCTCTCTATTTGCGGGAACTGGTAAGTGGAAAATGTTCGCATACAATTGTTTTAGGGTACATTAATCATCTTAGAATATTTTCAATGAGTTTATTTATTCATACTTGCTAGTCATTTTTTTCACTTAATATCAATATGTATTATGTAGGTACTGCTGGTATTTCAATGAATCAATTGAGCGAACCGTATGGCCTCGCACGTGATTCAAGTTCCGATACAATTTATGTAGCAGATTTTAAGAATCATCGAATTATGCGTTATTCCCAAAGTAATTCTTCAGGTACGCTAGTTGCTGGTGGAAATGGTAATGGAACAAATCAGACACAATTGTTATTACCAAATGCTATTTATTTCGATTCATTGTCGAACAGTCTTCTCATTGTAAATACAGGTGCTCACAATATTGTTCGGTGGGTGTTAGGTGCCAGTAATTGGACACTTGCTGCAGGTAATATTAATGGAACAGCTGGTACATCATCAACACATTTAAAGTCTCCGACAGATGTGACACTCGATCCGATGGGTAATATGTATGTTGTTGATAGAAACAATCAACGAATACAATTCTTTCCAGTTGGTGAAACAAATGGTACAACTATTCTTGGTACAACAGGCATAACTGGCAGCAACTCTACTCTTTTCGATACACCCTCCTCGATCATACTTGATAATCA